TAAGTGCCATTTCGAAAGGGGCATAGGTACGTTACATGTTTGTAGAAACTTTTTTAATTTTACAGATTACAGATTTAAGGGATGATTATACACAGTAAAAAAAGCTTATTAACGCTAAAAAAAATTACAGCATGTTAGTGCGATAACTTTTAATTTTATTCTCGGTATTACAACAATTTATACCAACTATGCAGTGCCAATTGATAAAATAGCTTGACAGATGGTAGGTTGATTTTGGGTTTTTGGTATGTCTGACGACGTTTCCAAACTAAAAACCGAAAACCCGGAGCAGATATATATATATATATATATATATATATATATACATATATATATATATATACATATTTTCCTATCAGTGTGACACCCTGCATAATGGAGGTAAAAGTGACACCCACTTTATACACGTAGATAAATGCTTAACAAACTGGCACATATATAAATTTCGTCAAAGTGGCTCCAATTTTTATACGTCTAAGTATATAATTAATATACAAAGTGACACCATCCGGTGTTGTCAAGTTTATCAATGTGGTTGGGTGCCACTTTGTTGCCCATTAAATAATTTATTAATTAGATTTAAAAATTAATATTAAATATTAAAATTTAAATATTTAATTAAGTCAAAGTTATTTTATAAATAATATTTTATATTATGTTCTAAGACTGATTTGGAACTTTTTAAGTACTTAAGACTTAAAGTTTGAGTGTCTTTTATGTTTATTTGATTTAAAAAATGTAAATCTCTTTCTTTTTTGGCATCATAATAATTATGAATTAGCAAAATATTTAATAGACTACTTAGAGTTTTTTTTTAATTATTTGGCTATTTAAATGCCTAGTCAAATTAAGAATCAATTTGAAAATTAATCAACTCCCAATATCTCGAGAACCGCTTGTGCTAGTCCGATCGATGCCAACGTGAGCAAAATATTGTTGTCTTATTTCAGGTTATGTTATTATTTTTTAACTTTGAACTGTAATAAAAGCTTGTTTAAAAATATTGCTAACATTTATTTTATTTTATACTTTTTAGCATTAGAATTTGTTAAATATTAAATTTACAAATTTTAAGGTTAGTTGTCAAAAATGGGGTTAGACAGCAACTGTCATTTAATTTTCCTTCGTAATCCTTTATCTGTCACCTGTCAACTTGGCACCTGGTCCCCCTATATATTGTGTGCCTTAGGTTGTTAAACTTTTGTTAATTTTAATTTATCCAAAAAATACTATAGTATTTATATACTACTAATAAATTTCAATATGGAGAATAGGTGAAAACTCTAGCATTTGATTTTTACAACAAAAACTGAGCGCTTTGCTCTATAAAGCATAATAATAATAAATAATCTTTATTTCGCAGATTCGCCATTATTATTTAGTATAGGTTTTTTAATAAGTATAAAAAACCGCCGTTTTTCCGGCCGGTCGATTTGTGGGAGACAAAATTTGCAATTTTCCACATTATTTTCATGGTCCTTGCCTATCTTCACCAAGCTATACTCTAAGATTTGGAAAAACTGAGGTTCGTTTGAAGTAAACAATCAGGTCCAATTTTTTTTAGCTATGCCAAATTTAAACTAAAAACTACAACCATAAAATTCTACATTTAATTCTGAAACGCTAAAATATAGTAGATTTTGCTTCCCGACAAACAATTGTCCGTCGGCCTCTAGGCGGCAAAAGATTTTCGCATTTTTACATCGGGACGACGTTGGACCGACATCGGCAATTTCCGATGTCAGTCTAACTTTCGTAAACGATAATCAATTTCCGTCATCAATCCAGTCGGAACGACGTCGGCTAAACGAGCTGTAAAAGTCTGTAAACGATAATCGATTTTTGACCTCGACCCGACCGGTCGGACAGAATCAATTTTCGATGTCAATTAAACGTTGGACCGACGTCGGCAAAATGATCGGTAAACCGTTCCTAAACTATAATCGATTTCAGACCTCGTTACAACGTCGGCAAACGATAATCAATTTCCGGCGTCAATCCAACGTTAGACCGACGCGTCGTCGCGACCTCGTCAAATGATAGTCGATTTCCGACGTCGGTCGAACACCCTCCTCATAAGTAATACATCAACCTTCTTTATCTCTTCAATACATCTCACCGCTGCTGAAGCACGCTATCTATGTAGATAACTATAAATATCGATGGGTTGCAATTGCAGTATTAATACTTAGTTAGAGGTGTGATGGCACACCTGAATAATGATGGTTAGTGAAAGAAATGGCCAAACTTATGAAATTTAAAAGTATCCAAGGCAAAACAGGAAGTGACTGTCAATGTCCTCTAACAGTCATATTGACAAATTATTGTTTTGTATAAAACTGCTATTTTTGTATTGTTTTTGAATGTATATAATCTGTGATATGTAAATAATAAAATAAATGTTTTTGAATTTGAATTCAAAAGTATAGAACCAAGCCGACGTCAGCCCGCCGGTGGCATACGACGTCGGCCCGCCGTTAATAGGAGACAGCGGTCGTCAAGCGGTCAAAGGACTATAGCCCGCTGTCTGGCCAAAAACATCTGCAGACGTTCTGGATAGGTTCAATCCTAAGGATGCCTATGTCCTCTGAATGGCACGATATTTTAACAAAATCTCAACGTATAGAATAAGAGTGTTTTAAAATATCGTGCCATTCAGAGGACATATGAAATCCTTAGGATTGAACCTATCCAGAACGTCTGTAGTTTTTTTTGGGCCGCTGTCTCCTATTGACGCCGGGCCAACGTCGTTTGCCACCAACGGGCCAAAGCCTGCAAGATAGTTTGTCATCGGCAGCCGTGCGCCCAACGGACATTTGTTTGTTGAGATATTTAAGGAATATAAAAAAAAAGATTTTTCTTAAATATAAAAGACTTCTATTAAATACTAATTAATAGGTGTCAAGAAATAAGTTGGGGAGATGACAGTTTACGCCAAAGTAAGCAAGTTTGCATTAGTGCTACTGTTTTTGAATGAAAAAAAAAACAATTACAAATATTAACGTAACTCCTATGCTTTTGATGCACAGCCACTGGTTTCGTTGCGTCAGCAAAAAGTGTAGACGAACGAAGTTTAGTATGTCCGTTAAAATCATTGACATCATTACCAATAAGAACCACAGTTAAACAACTGGCCGACTCTACTTAGTCCATCAACCCCAACCACTTATACGTTCGGTCATGTTGTGAACGAATATTAAAAAATTATCTAAGAGTTAGGTTTATTTTCAGAGGAAACACTTGCTTACTTTGACGTGAACTATCATCTTCCCATCCAACCCTGTATAGGTCTGGCAACCAAGTCCTGGCCGGAATAAAAGAACATTAATTACTTTTAATTATTTAGTTAATTTAGTTTATAGGAGCTTTAAAATGACGTACCTATCGCATGTTCAGTTCGAAGCAGCTGGCTGGGAAAAAACTTTGACTGGTTATAATTTTTGACAGATAACAGATAGAAAATTACTTTTAATTATTCTAAATGCAGTTTTTCAAGGGCTTTAAACTGACCTATAGCATGTGTAGTTATGTGGGATATATCTTTTGTCATTTTTTAACAGTCACAATCCTCCACAATAGCTGCTGGTTCAGCAGCTATTGTAGAGGATTAACTTCAAAGGCATTGTTTTTGAAAAAGGCGGAAAAAAGTAAAACTAAATATTAAAATATTTAAAAGACAAATGACAAAAACTGCTTGCGAGCAGGGTCAGCAGATCACTTACTCTATCCCTCACCTCAGTTTTAAAACTGTGCTCTTTTAATCTGAAAGGTTACGGAACAATTCCGACTATTTCATAGCAGTGTTGTCAGATTTCTGGTGCCACTTTGTGCACTAATTATCGTGGTGCCACTTTGTCAACATTTGAATATTTTTAATTTTCGTATAAAACACAAGCGCCCTCTGGTGTCAAACCATATCAACTATTGTAATATAACCGTATATAAAAATTGTAAAAGTGGCACCCAACAAATATTTGGCTGAAAGGTTGCTGATAGTGCCCTCTACTGAGGGAATTTTTTTAAGGCAAAAACAAAGTGGCACCCGAAGCCGGGTGTCACTTTGTAAAATTGGGTGCCACTTTTACAAGAATTATGCGATTTGGGTGCCAGAATGACAAAACATATATCTATATATATATATATATATATATATATATATATCTAAATATACTTTATAAAGAGTATATATTAATTCTTTTATGGTATTTTAAAAAAAAGCCCGAAAATTCACATGGATATTAACTTCTAATTGCCCTCTGAATTGCTTGTTGCCACCAAATAAAATTAAATAGATTTCTCTTATGTATACGCCCGGGCGGCATTTTTGTATCGAGCGTTAGTACACCGCATCTCGCGCTCAATGGGGCGGGGTTGGGTTTTGATTTCTTTTGCATTTTTATGCGTTTCAGGATATTTCCTTGTTTTAAGACAGACCTCAGTTAATACGACGTTACCCGATTGCGGTGTACTGGATGCTCGATACGAAAATGCGCCCGGGCGCGCCTTTGAAAAATATAACAGAATAATAATTCATTTTGAAATTATTTTTTGCCATTTCTGCTCGGATTACATTTTGTATGCTGTCTTGCGGAATTTCTTCAAAATATAATTCTTGGTCCAGTAATTCTGGGCGGACTTTCTTAATATTCTTAATTATATTTAAGTCAAGACTTCGTGGAGGCCAGTCTATAGTCAGTTAAAAAGACTGGATCCCCAGAGTGCCAAATATATATTACTTTTTAGAGAACTAGACCAAGCTTATAGAGATGGGTTCTTTATGATTTAAGGGTGGAATTAAGAAGAATAATAATGCCATAACAAATACATATTTAGTCATATATATTTTTAATGCGCACTCTGTTAAAATGCTGATAGAAACAAAAAATGTTACTTGGTAAAAAAATTATAATTTTAAAAGGTCAATAAATTTATAAAACATTTGTAGTGTTAAAACTAATTTTTTCATACTTAATTCTCTCAAACGGTACCTATTTACTTACCTTTTCTTATTTCCACTAATGCTGGCAAATCCATATCTGAATTGTAACCATGAATTATTATTTTTGTTGGATTGTGTGGTTTAAAGTCGGTTTCAGTTAAATTAGTCCATTTTGAACCGACCGACACTTGCATTGGCATAGTTTCGTGGTCTGGCGTGTATAGAAAAAAATTTATATCAGGATCTGGACAAATTCTAAAAATATAAGATATATTTTTAGTACAACCTATATACAGCCAATATATTATTAGACTTTGTATTACTCACGGGTTTAAAATAATTTTGCATGATCCTATTTCAATCGAATTTTGTTTGTACATATAATTTGTCATTGATGAAACTTCTGAGGGTATATCAAGCTGTATATTGTTTTCCAAATAATCTGGTAGTTGTTGTGGTAAAACATCTAAAAAATATTTAAAAATAAATATTTAAACCCCACTTATCTTTTGTAAAATACCTTAATAGCTTGAGTTAAGTTGGTAAGCATTTCTAAATATAAAATCATTTAACTACATCGAAAAGGTACAAATGACATTTATTAAAATTCTTATCTTGCAAGAATATACAGAATGTCTAGAAAATGAAACACTAACGCTATACCACGCGATAGGGGTAAGATAATTTAAATATAAAAAATTCTTTAAGTATGTAGTATATTAGTTTTTATTAGTTTTTGTTTGGTAGATAAATAAATTATATGTTTAGTACTGTGCAAGTACAACCAATATTAGTTTACTTGAAAATCAGCGAAAAAAAGTACGCCAAGATATATATATATATATATATATATATATATATATATATATATATATATATATATATATACAGGGTGTCCAAAATGTGATGGGAAAGCATTGCTATATCGGAAACGGTTATAGATGGAATAGGGCATCAAGAGTTCAAAAGTTGCGTAATTACATGCCTTTTATTATGGCATCTGAAGATTGCACACAAAATCAGATGTTCTCAAAATATTTGAAAAAAACTAAATATTGGTTAAAATTTATTATCGCTATAACTTTTCTATTTATAGGAATTTAAAAAAACTGAAAGGTTTACATGAAAACATACACAATTCTGAGATACGGCCACTATCTTTTGTTTTTCCTATGGCCGCCATATTGGATTTTTGCATGAAAAAATTGAAAAAATATCAAAGAATTTAACCATGTATCATACATGATACTTTAGCCAAAAATAAACCTGTTAAAATCAACTTTTTATTATTGAGACACTATCAAGTTGCAATGAAAAGAAACAATCCAATTGTCCAGGTCCAAATGACGTTTATGCTTGTCAAGTTGATAATGTCAATCAAGGCGCTAAAAAAATTCCTTATTTTGCATGAAAATAAAGTACACTAATGAAGAAAAAGTCGATATGCTTTTTGGTTATGCAAGAGCATTTCGAAATGCAAGAAATGCTGCTGAAACATATGCTAACTTGTATCCCGAAAAACAGGTTCCTGACATCAAAATATTTGCACGCTTAGAAAAAAAATTGCGCGAACTGGAAATGTTTGAAAAGCCAAAAAAAAAAATAACTAACTGTAACAGAAGAAGGAGGTGAAGAGAAAACTAATGGCTTGGGTAATATTTTATAAATAAAATAAATAAATTTTAAAATTTACGTTCTGGTATTTATTTTAGGCTACGTGCATTTTAAAAATGAGAATCAAAATGAGGTTTCTCTTGAAAAAGAAACAGGTGTCAAAAAAATGTAGGCAAAAAATTTTTTAAAAAGACACAAGTGCAGACATTATCTCTAAAGGAAAGTACAACATTTGAGGTCCTTGGATTATAATAAAATAAACATTTTTTATCGGTGGTTATTGAGAAAAAAGCGCCAGGATGCAAACATTCTAAAAAAATTCTGTGGAGCGACGAAAGCACATTCTGTAATAACGGATGGTTTAACAGAAACATCCACTATCGCTGGACCCAAAAAAATTAACATTTGCACCGAGAAACTGAATTTCAGGAGAGGTTCGGTATAAATGTTTTGCTCGAAGTATTGGATTCCAGTATAGTGGGGCCTATCTTTATTGAGGAGCATTTAACAGGGGAAAGGTATTTGGATATTCTAAGAAATACCCTACGAGACCTTTTGGATGACCTTGCCATAAGTGCAGGGCCGTCTTAAACCAGGCTGGGGCCCTTGGGCACACAAGAATTTGGGGCCTTTTTGGAAAGTAAAAAAGCGAATTATAATAACATTTTTTTACTAAATATCACCATTTAGGTAATCAAATACAGTATAATATAATATGTCATTAATGATATTAGAATGCTGCTGGTTTTTTGGTTACGATTACGATAACGGTTTCTTTCGGGATTTCTGTTGAGCAAAATCTTCTATTATATCCATAAAGTCAATTTTTTGAAGGATATCACTTTCTATGCACATAATGGACAAATTACTCAGTCGTTCTTGTAACATTGTTGTTCGCAATTCATTTTTTATTCTTTTAAGCTGCGAAAATGACCGCTCTCCACTACAATTGGTAACCATTAGGCAAAGGAATATTCTTGTAGCAATTTATACGTTTGGAAAAGTTTCTTCCAATTTATTTGATTTTATTAGGTTATGTAAGGTTGAGATATTCAAATCCGCTGATTGCTTTGCTATTTTTTTTAAATATTGGCTTAAATGAATTCATTGTTTTAAAACATTCTGTTTTGAGCTTTTCATTAATGTCTTCATGATAAAATTCTGCAAATTCTTTGCATTTTTGGTCAACTCATCAGTTTCGATTGTTGTTAACTGACAAAGAAATCTATACTTCTAAGTTAATTTCAATTAAAACTTAATTTTTCAAACGATTGTGATTTGTGTTTCACTGTTAGTCTAGAATGGGGTTTTTGAGAAGCCACCAGCTTATACAAATACCCTTCTCACAACTTTTTTTTAACTAAGTGAGATTTCCAAAAATAATTATTTCAGCCCAGCCTACCGAATTTCTAATTTTTGCCGCGCCCCCCGGGGGATTGAATGTTTTAAAAAAAATGTTTAACTTACATTTTGAGTTTGGCATATTGAAAAACTATAAGGTATTAACTCACTTGTAACACAAAAATATTTTTTATTGAATTTTGAGGAATTTCAACCCCCCGGGGGCGCGGCTTAATTTGTTTTAAAAAATTTGAAAAAAACAGCTTATTTGTGTACCCTTCTTACAATGACAATGAACCCTCAAAAAAATAAAAGTTCCCGGGAATTTTTTGAATTTATTGATTTTTTTATGTTCACGGAAATTTTTGTACTAAAATTGTACACCTTTTTGTGGCCTAGTTTACACAATAGATTTGGTCAATAAGTAGGGAATTAACTTGGAAATTAGTAAAATTAGCGTAATTAGTAGGGAATTAGTGGAATTACTAGGTATTTTTTAAATTAAAATGGAATTATAATATATAAGGAGAATTAGTAAGGAAATAGAGGAATTAGTAGCAATCCTGGGAATTTGTGTACACATTTTCTTTTGCGGTTTACCCCGAGGGGTAAACCGCAGGGGAATTTTGGTGTACAATCTGTAGGAATTAGTAAGGAATTAGAGGAATTTGTGGAAAATTAAAGGAATTAGTGGGGAATTTGGGGAATTACTCGGTAAATTAGTAAGTAAATATTGGAATTAGTGGGGAATTAGAAAGAAATTAGAAGAAAATTGATGTCTCGTTTAGCACTTGAATATAAAGAAAAAACAAAAAAAACCCGGAAGTTACAGAGCTAGTCCATTCTTTGCCAGTTCCAGATTGGGAGTAGTACCACTGCAGCATTGAAAAAAATGAAGAATGTTGTGTACAGCACACCACCCATATTTTAACAAAAATTAGTACTCGTTTCCTAAAACCAGGAACATCTGCCAATTGGGAAATACACTGTCTTCTCTGGTCATCTCAGGGAGTTAATTTTAAAGTTTCCAAAAGACAAACAGATTCGGATCTCAAAAGTGAAGACAAGATGAATTTTGCATCCGCAGAAAAAATGTGCAGTTTGATAGTAATTGAACGACTAAATAAGGAAATTCTACAAATTAAATAGAGCGTGGCGTATCTCAAGCTAATGTACTACATCGAATCGTCGTTCTTAAATTCCAGCACTGTTTGCATACCAGATTATATCGCATCTGGTATGTTGTATTTTTTACTAGAATCTGGAAAGCCTGGATTAAAGAACAAAAAAAATATAAAATAACAGACAACTTTTTGACCAGTAATTGTAACCTTTGCATCGAAACGCCCATGCTTTGATTAAACTAATACTGAAACTTAACAGCGGTGAGTTAAAACCAGATATGTTCATCACCGGCATTTTTGGTAGCCAAGCATGTGAATCCTTATTTCGGGCTGCCAGATCCATGACTTTTACGTATTCAACAATAATACATTTTAGTATAAAGGATATGCTGAACCGAATTAAGAGAATTAAGACAACTGATACCATAAACAATCTGAGGGGGACTTTTACATTTCCAAGGGAAGACAAAAGATTAAAAACCAGACTAATAAAAGAAAATTTACCACGTGAAGAAGAAATTTTAAATATCAAATCTGCAGTTAAAAAAGCTCTACAAAATGTCATAAAGGACATGAAACATCTTGGAATTAATGAAAAAGAAAACGATTGGAAATATATGCAGGTAGGTACCGTTAACCGTTAGAAGACGGAAACAAAATATTGCAATTACACAGGATAATGAAGACGCCGACGAAGACAACGCTAAAATTGTCGAAAACCCCGAAGAAAATTGGCAAAAACAAATATTAGTAATGAGGACGATAAAGTTATGGATGAAGTTATGGACTTAATTTCGAACGAGATTTCTAATGAAGATAGCGAATGTGATACTTTGGAAACGAGTTTTATAAGTTTAAAAGTCACCGTACCTATATAATATTATATACCTATATAATATTATATATTCAATTATTAAAAAATCATCGTACTGCTGGCTTTTAGATCAGTCCGACGGTAAAGTAAGTACTGGCCGATCAAAAAGATTTATAGGCAGTACAAGGAAAACACCGAAGAAAACACCTTGCAAAAATTCCAAGTCGACCTTGACTATAAACAGAAGCTATGCATGGATCAAACTAGTAGCTAGTAGCACAAGCACTGTATCCTCCTCCGACTCTATCGTGATGGAACTCGACTTTTCAGATGAGATCTTGTCGTATAAATCAGAAAATGTATCGAAATTTGCCGGACTCGAGTTACACTTAGAAAACTATTATGCG